AGATGTCAGACTTTTGACATGGGCAAACTACTCCACGGTTAGACCATCTTCCTCATACATGTTGTTATCCTACCTTTCGGGGTTGGACCTCGGTGGTTCTGGACGGGTCCACCAGGGGGCGTGGCCTCCTCAGCGTGTCAATGACACTCTGCCACTGTGGCGGCAGGCCAACGTAGCGCCCTGTGGCGACATCATACGATGTGTGGACGCGGTGCCGGAAGTCCTGAGGCGCAGAGATCTTCGGCCGTCGCTTCCTCTTCCTGCGCTGGAACATCGTCGTTCGCAGCGACAGTAAGACCCGGCAGGGGAACCGGAAGCAGCTCACTCACGCCGCCGTTTTGACTGTTCATTAGAACGCAGTGGGGAGGCACAAAGGAAATGCATAAGTAAATTGTCAAATGGATATATAAATATGAAAATAAATTAATATTCAAATAATACCGTATTAAATACTGAAATACATATTTGTAATCAATAAATGCATATGCAAATAAATAAACAAATTAGGAAATACAGAAAGGAATAAATAAAATACTTTATATTGAAACAATTAAAAAAATACAGAAATAAATCAAACGTAAAAATTAGAATCAGTTGTAAATTTATTAGCTTTAAGGTCTGCAGTCTTCTACTTCATTTACATAAACGTGAAACAAAAATATTAGCTTTTTATTTATGTCCTGTTTAATTCTTACAACTGTCAATCACTAACAATATTAAGTAATTATAGTCTCAATGTTTATATGCCAATATAAAGACAAATAAATGTCACCTTTCACCACTAAATAAATATATATTTATATACATTCAGGTGCTCGTCAGTTCTTTTCAGGAGAATGTTAATAATAACTATTAAAATTCTTACAATAACGGTTTGTTCACCATTTACTTACAATTAAAAGTAAACTATGTAAATCTATCAATCATGTTTTTTATAACTGTTTTTGCAGAAGCGCCCCCTGTTTGTTAAGGAGTGGTGGAGGATGTAGACTACCGTATCCGTATGCTACACTATACTACTGTGTGTGTGTGTGTGTGTGTGTGTGTGTGTGTAATCAGGGTGTGACTGACATACCTGAGCGATCTAACACACAACATGACCAGACAGCTCTCAGTGAGGCTGAACCTCAGCACTCTGCGACATCACACCTTCAAAGACCTCATTAATATCTGATCAATAACTGTCATCTATCAAAAGACCTATTTGATCATGAGAGTGCATGCGCACCTGCATGTTAACATGTTATGTTAGTTCATGTAAGCATTCTTTAGTGCACGTTAGTGCATGAAGGTGCATGTGAGTGTGCACCTGCTCTGCTGCTGACTGACAGCGTCGTCATGGAAACCACAGCTTCAGCACATTCCCTTTGAACGACATCGCTGCTCAAAAGACTCACAATGATGATGAAAAATGATTTCTAGTTCACACATGTGTGTGTCTATGATTGTGCGCCTGTGTCTGTCTTTGTGTGTGTGTCATTCAGTCCATGTCTGTCTGTGTGTGTGTCTGTGTGTGTGTGTGTGTGTGAGTGTGTTTTCTGTCTGTGTGCCTGTGTATGACTTTGTGTGTGTGTCCAGTCAGTGCGTGTGTGTGTGTGTGTTTTCTGTCTGTGTGCCTGTGTATGACTTTGCGTGTGTGTGTGTGTGGTGGTGTGTGTGTGTGTGTGTTTTCTGTCTGTGTGCCTTTAGAATGACTTTGCGTGTGTGTGTGTGTGTGTGTGTGTGTGTTTTCTGTCTGTGTGCCTGTGTATGACTTTGCGTGTGTGTGTGTGTGTGTGTTTTCTGTCTGTGTGCCTGTGTATGACTTCGCGTGTGTGTGTGTCTACATCAGCTGGTTAGCTGTTGAAGTCAACCTGCTGAACAGACTAAAATTCTATAAAGTTTATCGACGCCATTGATTCACCAAACCAATCAGGCGTTTTAACCAATGAGAGCAGGGGGGCGGGCTGCTCTCCAAGCAGAAAAGATCTAGCGGAGAAAACGGTAACGGCAGCGTCGGAAAGGCCCCCAAGAAAGATCATTTCCCCGAGTTATCACGGGACATCATTTCCTCTACCAATGATGCCAATTTATTTGCCTTTATGACCTGGTCCATTTGCCATAGAATGTTTTTGACGTTCTGAAGTTCTTCTGCTGACTTCAAACGAAAACGTTAAGAAATAGGCGTCCTTTCGCCACCAGGTGACCGAGCATCATTCCACCGCCTACGGGGAGTGATAACTCTCTATTCATTATTTTGAAATGATTTAGTTAGCTAATGCTAGCTAGCTCTGCTTAGCTATTTAACTAGCTACGAAGGCTTGCTAGCTAGATCTCTTAGATAGCGTTGGAGTCAGTGAGATGTTTCCTTTCCTCATAAGTTACTGCCATCTTTTGATTAACAGCCAATCCTCTTACATAATAAATACTACTAGTTAGTGCAGCTGACTGGAGGTTTCCAGGTTTAAATGTTGTTTGTTTTTACCGAAGCGTTGAGTAATCAGCTCAATAACAGAGAGCCGACTGTGGAAGCAGTGAATCGGATGCAGAAGACAGCGTTCTGCAGGTTGACGTTGCTTCACATGTCGCTAAACACGAGAAACTACAGAGATATGAAATAAAAAGGCGTCTTTGGGTACCCAGAAAAGCACGAATAGACGACCTGCCGGGTTCTAACAGAATAATGGTCACGACAATCCGGAAACTGTAAGTCTTTCTTAGAGGGTTCCTCACAGCTCAACAAGGATCTACGTTGAATCTTCTGCAGAGGACCTTCAGTCTACAGTCAGCTGTGTGGAACACAGTCACAGTTAAACTGTTTGTGTGGGAGAATTCTGCCGAGCTCACCTGGCTGGCAGATTCCAGGTGAGTCCAGGTGGGTCCAGATGAGTCCAGGTGGGTCCAGGTGGGTCCAGGTGGGTCCGTTGTAGCCGGTTTCTGCTGCTCTCCTCCTCCTACTCAACTCTCCCTTAGCTGCCGTCCCTCCTCCCCCTCTCCTCTCTCTCCGTCCCTCCCCCACCTCCCTGTCTCACCTTGTCTCAGGTATGAAGTAGGGAGGAGGAGTCTAGTTCTGTGGCTTCTGTCTCCAGATTCAAACTAACTTTATTGACATGACAGCAGTTCAGTGTGATTGTGTTGTAGTTGATGATGAGTGGCGACGTCCCTCCGAACTTGGTTGCCAGGTCTATGACGTAATTAAATCTGAGTCATAAATACACAGAAGTAGATTTTAAATGTCTTCAGTTATTAATCTGAAGTTACCCAGGAGCTCCATTAGCCTGTCTGTCTCTGTGCAGGCTGCAGCTTGTCTCAGTCTCTAAAGTGTCTTTGTCTCTGCAGGCTGCAGCTTGTCTCACAGTTTAGATCGGTTTCTATGGCAGCATTTTAACTTACTCACACTCCACATGATTCATAGCAGCTCCTCCAGTTCATTACGCAATAACTTCTAAAGGGGACTTTAAAAAACACATTAAGACAAACAATCAGAAGAATCAGACCGTGTTTTAGTGAACAGCTTCTCCGTCAGGACGGAGGACGACGAGCAACCGCCGGCAAGAACCTCCACCACATCCTGGAGAACATGGTGCAAACAACCAGCTTTAATAGAACACATTTAATACGTGAAATAAATAAACTTTAGCTCATAAAATAATACAGTTATAATAAGTCAAATTGTGTCATAATGCAGGTGTAATTCCCGTACCAGGGTTCCTCTCCAGACACCTCCCAGCCTCACTGGGACCATCTCGCCGTCGGTCAGCAGCAGGTGGACATTCTCACCAGGTCCACTTGACAGGTAGAGACAAGAGGACGCAGCTACCAACCACAGTCAGTGAACAGATGTGCAGCAGTGGTAGCAGCTGTGTGTGTGGGGGGGGGGGGGGCGGATGACTCACTGGGGACGAGGTCAGTGAGCTCCTAAAAACAAACAGACCGTGGAGTCACCGTGGAAACAGGGGGGTGTGTCCATAGTGTGTCCTTGTATGGACATGGGGAGGAAGTGACTCAAGGTGGACATGTGACCCGGGGGCGTGGCCTAAGTGGTGATGCAGCCGTCCAGGAACAGGAAGCAGTCGATCAGAGGCAGCGCGCCGTTGGTGGACTTCTCCTGCAGGTCGACAACCCGTCCCCATGGAGACAAACTGGGAGTCACTATGGAGACGGAGGACTTAGCGGCCCACACGTAGAATTGGGAGCCTACTTTGGGGAGCGCGTAGCTGTCCTCCGTGGCTTATTTGGTTCCTTATCAGGTTTCTGATCCCTGCAGGACTCTGGAGTAGATGTAGATCACGTCGCCTCCTGGTGGTCCATCCGTCTCCTGGGTGAAAGGAGAACAGGACTCACCTGCTGGTTGGGGAACCGGAGTTCAGAAGTTCAGTGAAATCAGCCTCCTTTAGTCTGAAGCCTAGTTTATGCTTCTGCGTTTTCATGCACAGACACGCAGACGCAAGAGTCCCTTACGTGTCCCTTACGTGTCCCTTGCGTGTCCCTTGCGTGTCCCTTGCGTGTCCCTTACGTGTACCTTGCGAGCGTCGACCCATTTTTCTAGGCTTGCGTTGAAAGCGACGGGGCAATAAAGTCTGTGATAAATAAATAAAGCAACCAGCGACTTCCACACACAAAGACGTGACTCTCCAGGTCGTCTTCAACAAAACACGTGACTCCACCTGTTGTTCTGGAGGTGAATCGCTCTGCAACACACGCGAGACTTTAGAACCAGGAAGTGAAACCAGTGCGTCGACACGACGTAAAGACGCAGCCTTTACTCCTCCTCCTGTATCCTGTAGCCTCGTAGCCTGACTCCTCCCCCTTTAGCATTGCCCCGCCTCCTGTACTGTGGGGACTCCTCCTTCTGTATCTTGACCCCTCCTCATGCCTGACCTGTTATTGTTACTAATATTTCTTATATTTCGACCCGGCACCTGATGAAAGATTCACAGCAGAAAATAAATCAGTTCAACCTTCAGACTGTGACGAACACATTTCTTCTTAATAATACTAATGACATATTACACACATCGAAATACAAATACACTATTATAATAAAAGTTAAAAGATTGACCAACAACCACACATTTCTAAATTTACCACACAGAAAATTGGTGACGGTAATCATAGGTGTTGCCGCACCTGAGTGACGTCAGAGCGACCTGCTATGAGGGGTGTGTCGGGTGTCTCTTCCTGTTTGTGAGCGCAGAGACACACTGAGTCTGAGCTCGGAGACAAACCTGGACGTCCACAGCTGACCCCCGGCAGGACACGTCACGTGACGGAGATCGGTTCGTGTTTGATTTTTTCCACAAAATGCCTCCACCCTCCTCCTCCTCCTCCTCCATTGCCCCCCTCTTCCTCCTCGTCGTCGTCGCGCGCCTCTCCGGAGCGGAGGACGCGTCTTGCAGCGCGGCCTTCCGGTCCGGACCGGAGGACTTCGTGCTGGACGCGGAGGCCGCGGTGAAGGCGGGGGCAGCGCTGCTGTCCAGCGCGCGCGTGCGCTCCGCGGAGGCTTGTAGGAGCGCGTGCTGCGGGATGCCGCTCTGCGACCTGGCGCTGCTGCAGCCGCGCGGCGGAGGGGCGGAAGCGGCAGAGCACCGCGAGTGCGTCCTGTTCAACTGCGTGCACCGAAACCGCTTCGTGTGCCGGTTCGTGAACCACAAAGGGTTCCTGAGCTACATCCGGGCCTCCGTGTTCCAGGTGTACCTGCGGGGACCTCAGGCCACAGGTGAGTCCCACCCCATCAGGTGATGTCATGGGGACAGTATCAACACAAGATGGCTATCAAGTAATATATATAAATAACAGAATCAATTCAAGATGCTAACAAATATTACAGGATCAATACTTTAATGTGATAAATCCAAGAAGATCATTTGGTACTATAGGATCAATCAATCAACAACGGGATCAATACACTGTCATCATTGAGAAATATAGGATACATTATTGTTATTATTATTATTAGGTATTAGATGAGGAACTACCTGTAGAAGAGAATCATTGTCAACTGTCCTCAGGTCTGTGACATCACTTAACTGTCCTCAGGTCTGTGACATCACTTAACTGTCCTCAGGTCTGTGACATCACTTAACTGTCCTCAGGTCTGTGACATCACTTAACTGTCCTCAGGTCTGTGACATCACTTAACTGTCCTCAGGTCTGTGACATCACTTAACTATCCACAGGTGACGACGCTCTGCCCATCGCCATAGCGCCCCGTGATGTCATCATTCAGCCTGGCGAGGTGGTGACCCTCAGTGGCATCCAGAGCCTGCCGATTGGCGACGCCCACATCTCCAGGTACCAGTGGAGTCTGGTTAGTGGAGACGTCAATGTCACCATGGAGGTAAGATATGTGAATGAGCTCGGGAACCAATCAGACGGGAGTATTCAGTGTTCTACATCACTCCACTCAGAAGGAACCAATCACTTTTGAATGTGGTTCTGCAGAGAACGGACCTACCTGACCAGGTGAGACTCTCCAACCTGCAGTCGGGTTCTTTCGTCTTCCAGCTGACCGTCATCGACTCCAACGACCAGCGTTCCCGAGCCGCCAACGTCTCCGTGGTCGTCCTCGACCCGGAGCGCTCCAGGAGTGAGTGGGAAATGTAGTCCATTCTGCTGACAGGATATTGATTGTTAAACCGCTTTATTGAAAGGTATCAGTGGTTCTTGTCTGTTCTTGTCATTCTGGTCCACACCTTGACTCAAACCAGGAAACCGGTCCGACTGGAATACCTGACACAAAACGGAGAGACACACACACACGTACTCACACAGTCACAAACACGCATGGATACACACACACACACACTCACTCAATCTCATCACCGATTGGTTGATTTGTTGGTTATTGATTATGGCTGTCAATAGATTAAAAGTATTAACTAATTAATTGCACATTTTGAAATGTATTAATCTCGATTAATGGCGATTAATGAATGTTGTATTTGAAGTGCCAACAATGTCCCCACATTTAGCAGGACGTTTTCAAACCACGTCTTTTAGGGACACAGTGGTGGTCCTGTGCAGACTGTGAGCCGCACAGGGTAACGTTAGATGTTGAGATAGAAGTAGCCTAGCAGCTAGCTTAGCATAGCGGTGCTTTAAGTGGTCCGTTTGCCACTCACCCCCCTTCTGTTTGACACGTGGAGGAATTCCTGTGCTCAGTTCTCTGCTGTATGTCGCTGTTTGCTTTACTTCCAATGCATCTCGATGTAGCTGACTGCAGCTAGCGGCTGCAGCTGACTTTCACCTAGTTAACTAACGTTAACTAGGTGAAAATATTTTGTTGCATTTATCTAGGCCACATTAATCGCATAGATTAATGCATTAATGTTGACAGCCCTATTATTAATCGCTGATCAATTAGCTTTATATCATCCAACCGTCAACACACACACACACACAAACCTTGTGCTGTTTTCCAAAGAAATTAGTATTAACAATGTGTGGTGATAAAAAATGGATCAATATTTGTAATAGAAACCACTCATTTGAATAATCCTTTGAATACATGGTTAGTCTTACCGTGTCCTCCTGTCCGCTGTCCAGCCTTCTGTCTGTCCCCGCTGAAGGTCGGTCCGTGTCGCGCTGCGTTTCCTCGCTGGAGCTACAACGCCACGACCAGCGCCTGTAAGCCCTTCCTGTTTGGAGGGTGTAAGTCCAACAGCAACAACTTCCTGTCTGAGGAAGAGTGTGTGTCTGCCTGCAGAGGGGTCTCAGGTACACACAGTACACACCGAGTACACATGTAGTATACTCAAAGTACACACAGCAGTTTAAATACTTTACGTTTTATGTGTTTTCAGCGCCTTCAGAGAGAAGCGTCTCTGTGTCCGTCGCTGGTCAGTCCCACAATGCACCTCTTCATATCAGCTGTGCACCACAAGTACAAGGCAGGGGTTAATGTGTACCTGTGTGTTGCAGAGTGCGGGTCTACCTGTGGTCCTGCTCAGCTCACCTGTGACTCTGGCTGCTGCTTGGACAGAAGTCTAGAATGTGACGAGGTGACGCAGTGCAGAGACGGAGCCGACGAGGAGCACTGCGGCAAACGTAACACAAGCGCACACAGCGACACATAGACAGACACACACAGGTAGAAGATCACCCCTCCTCTTCCTCTTCCTCTTCCTCAGTAAACCAAACCTTTCACCGCCTGCTGGACATCGACGTGAACCAGAAGAAAGGTGAGTCTGTGTCTGACCGCCTGCTAGCTCTCAGTGCTAACCAGCTACGTGCTAACCCCCCCCCTCCAACAGCCCGGTGTGCCGAGCCCCCCCTCACTGGGCCGTGCCGGGCCAATTTGACCCACTGGTACTACGACCCCCTGAACAGGAAGTGCTTCCACTTCACCTGGGGGGGGTGTGACGGCAACGAGAACAACTTTGAGGATGAAGACAAGTGCCGCGAGACGTGTGACGGGGTGACAGGTACGCACGAGCTCACACATAGCAGGTAGTTCCTTATGTCTTTGTCTCCCTGTGTCCTTGTCTCATTCCTCCTTGTGTCCCCACAGAGCGCGACGTCTTCTTCAGAGGGATGTTTGACCGCTTTGGGGCCGAGGAGGATGAAAGTGAATCGGGTGAGAACACAGAAACCACAAACATGGCCAGCAGTTGGTAGTTTTGGGCTGCTGAGTGGTGACGTTGTAGTACTTTTGTCTATGTTGGTGTACTAGTACACGGTAAGAGTGTTCTCCCTCCTTAGGAAACATCGCGCTGGCCGTTTGTCTGTCGGTGGCCATCTTGGCTCTTTTGGCCGTGCTGACCTACTGCTTCTTGAAGTCCAGGAAGGAGCGCTCCCATAGGCCGGTCGCCACAGGGCCCGCCCACGTGGCGCTGTAAGAGCAGGACCACCAAACCCATGTGAGGCAGTCGCCACAACCGCCGCGGAGCCTGATCGTCCATAGCATTGGTGATGTCATCGCGATGGATCAGCTGCTCAGCGTGGACTTCCTGTGTGTGTCGGTTTCTCTTTGATGTATTTATGAATATTTTGGTTTTCAGATGTCTTTGGTCATTCAAATCTTCAATATGTTTTTAACCAAGTCTGTGATGTTTGACATCATATTACACGCATATATATAATATTTTTGTATAAATAATATTTCAACACGTCTCCATGACAACTAAGGCAGGTCTTTAGCGACGGCTGAAAGCTCTTCAGACATCGTAAATGATTGAATGTTTAAATAAATAAATGGTTTTATTGAAATCTCTGTGTTCTGATATTAATGATCACTATTTATATACAAAGTACTTTATACTACATATCAGATGTGTAGTACATCTCAGAGGTACACGTTGTTCTGGATGAGTCCAGGTGTTTTTGGAGAAGCCTGCAGGTTCTCAGAGGGACTTTCACCGTCTAGTCGTGTTTGAAATGAGGCGCATGCGCAGAGGCCGTGAGAGATTTAACGCGCTGACAGACCGACGGACGGGCGGAGCTGATGGAGCTGATGCGTGCGTTGTGTAGCTGACGGAGGTGAGTTCAGGCTCCTTGGTTCGTGTTCATTCAGTGGCTCCGCTGACTATTTGTGTACTTCTAAACGGAAGTAGACGCGGAAGTGTTTGTTTACTCTGAAGTCGCGGGTTCGATTCCTGCTGATGAGAAAAAACACAAGAAGTTGTCAGAAAAGTAAATGAAGTCGCGACGTGCTCGTGGGTCGGAGGTGCGGTTTGTGAAGCAGAACTCAGGACTCAGGACGTGTCCACGTGTAAAGACTCAATACAAATGTTTGTAGTTCCGCAACATGAAGGAATCTTTGATTCGGCGTTGATCTCATAAGAGACAAACAAGACAACTTGTCTCCTCCGTGTTTAAACTTCACAGCCGTAAAACGCCCCAACAGCGGCGAGCGGGAACCAGGAAGCACCGGGGACACACGTCAGGACACACATAGACTACACGGACACACGTCGGGACACGCATAGATCAGGACACACG